GAGGCACACGCCCTACGAAGATCGGCAACCGAGATCTCAGGCAGAGCCTCCCATGCATGGTGATCTCCAGGAAGGCCCACTCGAGCGCACCTGTGCATCTCCCTGATCGCCTCCCACTCCGCGAGGCAGTCGTCCGCCTGCTGGAAGGGCTGTGGCCGCGACGTCTCCGCAATCAGCTCCTGCACCTCGCGAACACGGGAGAACTTGTGAGCAACTCCCGCTCCCTTGGCAAAGGCCTGCTCGACCCACTTCTTCCAGTCAGCACGTGCAGCGTAGGCAAACTCTTGCAGCTTAGCCTCAACCTCATCAAGGAAACCCTGTGCGACGTCGTCAAACTCAACTCTACAGAAGCTGGGGGGCACGTCCACAAGAAACTCCCTGATTGACTCCGTGGTCGCCTCCAGCACCCAGGACGACTTACGGATGCGCTTCAGAACCCCCTGAAGGAAGTAGAACTGCTTGACTATCTGGTCAGATCTCTCGTCCGTGGGGTCGGAGGCATACTAAGAGGCAAGCTGACGCAACTCGGTGCGAACCGAGCGCAAGTGTCGCAGCCAACGACCCACAGCTCGCCGCGCAAGCTCCGCCTTCGGCTGAGGAGGAGCTTGTCCCGGCAGCGGCTTCCACGAATACAAAGGTGGGCCAGCACGCCCACAAAACTTCCGTCGCTCAGGGGCCTTCGCGATGTCGTTGCGATCACAGAGCTCGGCCTCAATGCCTGAGATGAGAGCATCCCAGCAAAAAGCCAAATCATCTTCAGACCTCGCGTGGCTCATGAAACTCTGGATCTGGGCCCACTCCTCAACGGGGGGGGGAACCTCGCGCACCCAATCTTCGGCTCAACGTCCAACTTCTGTGGCTCATCAGGGACGCGGCGACGCATACTTCTCTCCGCCAGGCCTAACTCAAGGAGAACAGGTTTGTGCGGAAAGAGATCGGCCCCTTCCTCGACGGTCAGCTCGCCCACGGCAGGGGCCAGGGACAACGATGCGAAGAAGAAGTCGCGCACCGTGCCTGGGAGCGACTGCGCGCACGTAGGCACCTGCGGCGCCGCACGGATGGCCCCTGCAGCGTGGAACCAGTCGTCCAACAGGTCGCCCTCCATGTTCCAATCCCCGCCTAGGACCCACGCTATAATCAGGCGCGACAACTGGCTGGCGTAGTCGATGGCCGTCTGCACAATCTGCAAGTTCTGGGCCCCGAGGCCTCTCCGACCACTAGGTGCACGGAGAGCAGGACGATGCCGCCTGCGCGGCCCCAATGAGCACGTGCAGCCACGAGACGCCCTGGGACCAGCACGCGGTCGATGCGCTGGGGAGGGGCTGAGGCGAGAACGTGGACAGGCGCGATCACGGCTACGCCGCCGCCTGAACCTCCTCTGCCTGTATCAATCGCCTCCGCCCACACACCACGAAAACCTTTGGCGGCCGCCTTAGACTGCAACTCAGCAAAACGGTCGCCTCTCGCGTGGTGCTCTTGCACAATAACCAGGTAATTATCAAATCCATGGACGCTCAGCATATCTAACAGCGGACCGTGGGATGCTGTGTTAGCTGTAATCGCCCCGCGTATCGGGCTCGGCTTGCTCGAACCGGCTGATACCATACTGTGTCCTGGCACCGCGCGCGATAACCCTTGATCACTGCATGCGGCCGAAGGTCTGGACGGGGAAGCCACCAACGGCTCGGGCACCACGGCGCCCGACCTCGGAGACATGTAGTCTGGCAGGTGGAACTTGGCCGCGTGCCCATCTCCTGCTACCGCTGCCCATGGCGGGGCCGCGCCCCCTGCCCCAGGGTCCGCCTCATCTCCAGCGGCGGCGGCGGCCGCCCGCTGGAGCAAACCAACCCTCCGCGGCCATCACGAGGATGTGCTGGAGCCTTCCTGACCTCTCTGCCCGCTCGCTTGAGGCGCCCCAGGCTGCCGGTGCCCTCAGCGTCACGGGCGGGCGCGGCCCCGCAGGAAGCCCCAGCCGCAGCCGCGCCGCCAGGCCCCGAAGACGCCGAGGACGCAGGACATGGGGCAGCAAGGGCCGCGCCCCCTGCCCCGGGGTCCGCCCTCTCTCCCGCGGCGGTGGCGGCCGCCTGCGGGGGCATGTAGACAGGCAGCACACGCCCACCATGACACCTCGGCATCGCCCCAGCGGGGCAAAAGAGCTGCAGCAGGGGCGCGGCGCCCCGCCACAGCTTACTTCGTGTCGACGCGGGGCCGCTTCGACACCCTGCTGAGCTGCTCACCGAACCGCTTGATGTGTCCTCGTAGCTCCTCCTCGCTGCCAGGGGGCTCGGCGTCGAAGACCACGCGGTAAAAGGCTTGCAGCTCGTCCAAGTCGCCGTCGTCGGCAGGGACAGGAAGATGCTCGGCAAGGTCGGCAGCTCCTGCACCCGCGCTGCCAGCACTGCTAGCCGCGGCGCTGGTGGGCGGCTCAGCCGCGGCAGCTCTCTCCTGTGTGCGTCCTCGCTCCGCTGCGGCAGCGTCGAGCTCGCGCAGCTTCGCGAAGTTAGCCTGGATAGACCCGGCAAGAGACGAATCCGCACCGATCGCCCCCAGCATCTTGCCCACATCGGAGACCGACCAGTCCAGGGCGGGAGTCGTCGCCTTGAGAGAGAAGACGCCCGCCTCGGGGCGCGGCGCCAGCGCCGCGGCGCTGCGCCTGTCCGCCTCGGCGGCCACGAGCTCTTTGGACGTCTCCAGCAGCGCCTTCTCTGCGTCGGCGACGGCCAGCTGGCGCTCCTTCTTCTTCTCAAGCGCCGTGCAACGATTGGTGAGGAGATGGAGGCGGGCTCCGATCGGCTTGTCGGCCAAGATCTTGGCCCTGAGCCGCTCCTGCTCTGCCACCATCGCTGCCTTGTGCGACGCCAAGAGCTCGTCGGGGGCGTCCCCGATGGCTGCGATGGCGGCAGTGAGCCGCTCGAGCACCGCCTTGTCTGCCTCGGGGCCCGCAGGCTTGTCGGCGCCAGGGCTGTGGACCTGCATCGCTGCGGCCCCGCCGCCCGACTGCCGCGACGCCACGAGCTGCTTCTTGAGCTCCTGGAACTCGCGGTCCTTGGGCGGCGGCCTCCTTCTTGAGACGCTCTCCCTCGGCAGCAGCACGGCGCTCGGCCGCGAGAGGCCGTGATGCCTGCGCAGCGTTCGCCCCATTGCCACCTGCTGGGCGCGGGCCGAAGTAGGCTGCACCCTTGGCGACCTTGCACGACTTGCAAAACGTGCAATCCGCCCTGTTCCACCATCTCTCG